TAATGCACCAGAATCTTTCAGCTCTTAAAGTTGCTAAATATTTACATCTGACCATGAGCTTGGGCAGCCTATATTTCAACCTATATATGCTCCTCTGCAACACTGAAACGATGATGCCATCCCACAGCGCTTGGACCAATTCAGTGGAATAGCTTGGGTAAAGGTCCCTGAACAGCACCTGCCACTCCACGGTCCCTCCTCATCCTTGCATGTCCCCATCTGAGCTGTTCCCTCCCGGGCTTGAATTAGCTTTTCTTTGTTCCTGCTGCTGTGGGAATGGTTTTGCCTGGCAACAGAGGCGATCTGTATCACTTCCCACAGAGAAGCAGAGATGAGATCCCTCAATAGGTTGTCCTTTCCGGACACAGAGGTGGCTTTGTTAAGGGGGCACTCGGTGCTGCAAGCCATACCCAGATGTCACTGAGAATATACCCAGCTCTGGTTCTCAGCTCGGCCCCACTGTGTCCCTGGATGTGCTGGTGGCTTTGCTGGACTCTGTGTTTCTCCAGACCCATGTGTGGTCAGCAAGTTTGGGATCATGTGAGTTTAGCCACAAGGGCAGAACAGCAGGCCCAGCCTCCAGGCCCTTGCTCAGACAGACTCAGGCTGCGGCTCCCAAGCATCCTGGGAAGTGGCCCTGTTATGCTGGGAAGCATCACCCTTTGATCGTCTGCTGGCACAGCATGTCTCTCGGGGACGGAATCTGAGACGCCTGGGTCAGCAGGATACTTCACCACTGCCATTTGGCCCTATTCAAGCTAGGTGTTCTCGAAGCTGCCTCCGAATTGCTTCTTTCCACTTCTGTCTCTGTCAGCTTTCCCTCACGCCTTTGATCATACCCACCAGCCCCTCCTGCCACAGAATTCTCACTCGCCACCCCCATACAGGGCCCCGCTTAGGGCCTCTCACCCACATGCTCACTGGGGCAGGTGCTCCTGGCACTCAGACAGAATGGATGGGGTTTCCATGGCCTGCTGTTGATTCTCATGAAACTTCTTCCCAGAGGAATCTGGCTTTACTATTTTTAAGTCCCAAGAATGTCCTTTGAGAGCCAGTGGGCCTGGGGCCTGCTCTGGTCACCTGACAGCAACAGCTTTTGCATGCCGTACCCCACTCCTGACGCCTCGCTGGGAACCCCTAGGGCAGACGTGTGTGGAAATGAGAACACTGCTGGGTTTGTGGGACCCAGAGCCTACCTCTCCCCCAAGGCTGGGCCCTGGGCAGCCGCCTGCCAAACCATATCCTCTGTGGCCGTCTTGTCCCGTTCCTCAGTCTAGTCCCATGTGGGGCTCGGCCCATTCGCATTTCCTGAGCGAGGGAAGACCTAAGGCAGGAAAGGAGACAGTAAATATAGTGGTTAAGAGCACAAATTCTCAAATCCAAGTGCCAGGTTCAAACCCTGGCTCAGCTATTTACCAGCTGTATAATCTGAGGTGAACTGTCTAACCGCTGCCCCCCCCCCCCCC